CGCGATTCCGGATTCCGAATCCCTAACTAGCATTCTTTCCTGCCCTCACCCACACATTCGCTATTGCCCTTAGAACAAGCGAGTGATTCCGCAGAGGAATTTCCGAAATTGAATTGACACGGAATCAGTAGGAATTCCACGGAATTCCGGAATTGGAAGAAGCGATTCCGGATCCGGAATTGGAAGAAGTGGTTTCGGATCCGGAATTACACGAAGCGATTCCGGATCCGGAATCGGTGCTTGGAATTCCGGAATTCCGTGCAATTCCTAGCGATTCCGTCTCAATTCAATTCCGGGAATTCCTCTGCGGAATCGCTCGCTTGTTCTAAGGACAATAGCGAATGTGTGGGTGAGAGCAGGAAGGAATGCTAGTTAGGGATTCCGGATCCGGAATCTTGGCTTGCAGTTTCGGATCCGGAGTCGCTTCTTCGAATTCCGGAATTCCTCGTGTGAATTCAATTCCGGGAATTCCTCTACGGAATCGCTCGTTTGTTCTAAGGACAACAGCGAATGTGTGGGTGAAGGCAGGAAGGAATGCTAGTTAGGGATTCCGAATCCGGAATCGTGGCCTGCAATTCTGGAATTCCGCGGAATTCCTACTGATTCCGTGTCAATTCAATTCCGGGAATTCCTCTGCGGAATCGCTCGCTTGTTCTCAGGACTATAGCGAATGTGTGGGTGAGGGCAAGAAGGGATGCTACTTAAGGATTCTGGATCCGGAATCGTGGCTTGTAATTCCGGATCCGGAGTCGCTTCTTCCAATTCCGGAATTCCATGGAGTTCCTACTGATTCCGTGTGAATTCAATTCCGGGAATTCCTCTGCGGAATCGCTCGCTTGTACTAAGCACAACAGCGAATGTGAGGGCGAGGGCCAGAAGGAATGATAGTTAGGGATTCCGGATCCGGATTTGGGAGCATGTGGTTCCGGAATTGTGGGAATCGATTCCGGAATCGATTGAAGTTGTGGTTGGATGCAGTTCCGGAATCGTCGGATCCAATTCCGGGCGCGGAATCGATTGCACGATGTTGAACATCGCGGAATAGGATGACTGCTCGACTGACAAAGAGACAATATGCATTTTTAAATAGTCAAACGCTACATTTTATATTGTAAAAAAATCTGAGGAGTTATGTGTTCTAATAATAATTTTTTGAATATAAATTCCGTGATCTAAAGGTCCAAAAATGCATACTCTTTGTCTGTCTGTTAATCGTAGTGTGTAACATGTTGGAAGAATTTTGCAATAAGTTTAATATACTTCATAGTGATTTGGCGGCATGATCAACATATCTGGATACTGCTATATTAACCCCGATGCCACTCATTCTATGTCATAGGAAAGTGTCATATACGATTAAGACAATTTCATTGCGATTCACATTTTAATTGCATAGGGTTTGTGCTAAAAACGTTTCTGCATTTTCTCAGTGAAACGTACTTATATTTTTTACGTAACTATAGTAACTGAAATCTTTCTATATTAGTACATAGTTTTGCAGATCGATGATAGATAAATGAATCCTAAATCGGCTTCTTAAGAAGAGTAATCTCGAATCTGCATACATTTATTTTTATTTAGCGTGCTGATATGTTTCAATTTGATCTCGTCTACATGCGCTTTAACTCGTTGATGTAATAAATGATATAATGGCGTTTGTAGGATACAGGAATATAGTGTGACAATTTGAAATATTCCATGATCTAACGAAGATGTCAAGATATTGGCATTTTCATCTTCGGGGATAAATGAACAATAATTGATCAATTTCAATAATGAATCAAAACCATATTTGTTTGCCGACCAGTTTGATAGTGTATCCAGTCCATAATTATTAATAGTAATTTTCAAAATATTTGAGGCGAAACTAATAAATGAAACTCGAGTGTAAGAATGAATAGATTCTATTAGGCTATCGAGACGTTTGCCACAAATAATATCTTTCGAAATTTGATAAATCATTTCGTAGATTTTACGACGCGAACTTTTTTGCTTCGATAAATATTCATTATAGATATTGACAATATATTTTTGTAATTGAGTTGATTGTTGTAGAATTTGTTTTAAAAATTGAACACGTCTTATGACACTAGTTCGACGTTGATAGAATTGATGTGCAAGTTTATCTTTGAACATTTCTTTTGGCAATTCTTGAAGAAGTATTTGCATTTTTGAATAAAAATCCCGTAGACAATCGTCAAAGGAAGTATTGAGATCGATTAGAACATTATCAAATGATGCCTCTTGTTGTTCGGAAGATGATGATAATATTTGTAGCATTTTTTGTAGATGAAATGCACTTCCTGATATATACGTATCAAAAAAGTAGAAATCCCAATCGTTCAAGAAAATTGAAGAAAAACAACATTGATGATAAATTTGTCGCGATGGAGAATGAACTAGTATGAGAAAAAAAAATTTGGTTATTTTCCTATATCAGCATTGTATTTGTATTGAGCATGATCGATAAGTTGTCGAAGAAAAGGAATATGATGTGATTGTTGAGCATCAACAACAATGATGAGAACAGCTTTTCGTTCATCGTGCTCAAAAGTATGAAATTCATTTTGCACTTCTACAGAGTTTTCAATGGATGCCTAGAATAAACATTCAAGAAATCGATTAACTTGATATTTTTATAAGGAAAGAGTTTGTTTTAGCAAGTTTGGACATGATCGATTCAAATAGGAACCCAGAAGAATGAATAGCAGAATTTGTTGCAGATCATTTTCAGTCTAATGGTTCGTAGACTGACAAAAACTTTTTCTAGACGGTGTACAAGCAAGTGATCGAAAAGAATAGTAGAATAAATGGAAGCTTTCGGAACCTATCTCAAATATTTCTATATTTCGACTCGAAAAAAAACTAACCAGATTTAAAACATCAATTTGGTCGCTGTAGTTGCCATCATAACCATGGAAATCATTATTACTGAAATATTCCGATTTTGTTTGCTTATTGAGACCTTCTAAATAAGATGATGTCCGTGTGAAAATCATCACTTTTTTGGTTATCAGAATATTTGTCTCCTTTTGTGGTTTATCTGTAGTATCTTTCAACAGTTCAATATTATCAACATCGATCAATGGTTGTGAAATTAATTGTCGAATAAAATTTTCAACATTGAAATGTTCTTGTTGTTGAAAATAGTTGGTACAAATAGATTGTGCAATGTTATCTTCTAAAGTTGGTAGGTTCAAAATGACCGATTCTGGAGAAACAAGTTGAATCAATTTCGATAGAAGCAAACGTAGAAGACACTGTTGAACGTCTGTCGGCTTTTTTCAATGAATGATTTCGATTTAATAGTGAGTTGAGTATACTGTTGGCTAACATTTGACAAATAATATTGTTCATTGTCATTGATTTTGATGAGTGGTAGAAGACACGAATACAATGTATTTTCATTCAAGCCTTAAAAACATTTTCGCCCAAAATGTTGTATGAAGGTTTGCACTTTTTCTTCAACATTTTTTATAATTATCTGTTCATTTTCAGTAAGATGTTCCAGTTGTATTCGATAGAAATCATTGACACTCAATGAATACTTTTGAAAACGACTGAGAAATGGTGCTGGTATATTTTTCATTTCATTTCGTTTTACATGTATGATGCATTGAAAATCTTCATGCACGACAACATCAATAATCTTCGGACCAATTGCTACTTTAGAAAAGATCTTTCTCGTATCATCTGTAGGGTGTGGGTGTGGGTGGGTGTGGGGTGTGGGTGTGAGTGTGGGTGTGGGTGGGTGTGGGTATAGGTGTGGGTGTGGGTGGGTGTGAGTGTGGGTGTGTGGGTGTGGGTGTGAGGTGGGTATAGGTGTCTTCGTTTTTTGAGGAAGAATAGCGCACACCTACACCCACATTCATACTCCACGCACCCACCCACCCCCACCCCCACACCCCACCCACACCCACACCCCATACCTACACCCCATACCCACACCCACCGCACCACCCACACCCCACCCCACACCCACCCACACCCACACCCACACACCCACACCCACACCCACCCACACCCACACCCACACCCAGTATAATCAGTTCCGTCTAGAAGTTGAAATTCATAGCTCATAGATGCCCAAGACATGATTATATTAGCCCAGTTAATTGATAGATTCTTCTCAAACTATTGTCACTTCGTGGATCGGATAGAGCTGATCCAATGAGGAAATACCTTCATGTGTCACTTTCCGTTTTTATTCAGACTCATATCAAATTTATATATTACAATGATAATTGATAGTTCAAGTTTTATGAATTTCACAGAACTCTAAGAATGAAGTTCACTGTCAAAATCAATTCATGAAATGTCTAACATGATAAGAAAGAAAGATTGTTCTAAAATAGTCATAAGTCTCGAAGAACAAACTCTGTTAAACTGCTTCCATTTTAATCAAGATCTATGGACTACTCTGTCTCTGATTCAAAGTGTTCTTTCGTGAATTGAGACGATCAAAATCAAGCTGTACTATATCTACCAGTCCAGTTCATTTTACAATCTAGTTTTTACATGAAAGAACTGCTTTTTTTTTCTTCAAATAATGTCCATGCATAAGAGTCAAATGTTGAAGTAATAAAATAAATAAATAGTTTCAAAATTTCTCGAAGTATTATCAAATTAGAAACTGACACTTATAGTGTGAATCTATTAAAATTAATAATAAATGATTTTGTTGAAAAAAATGAATGATAAGAATCTCTTTGATATTGAAACTCGATTTTTCTTCTCATTTAAATCAAATGACAAATAACTGAAGATAAATTTTAAATTAAACTATATTATGTTTAAATGCAATATTATAATTTGTGAGAACGACGTAAATACATTAGAAAAACATTCATTTAATCAAGAAAAAAAAAGTCCAATCGATGCTCACCTTCTATTTGTTTTTTGTTCGTTGCACTTTTCAAAAAATATGTATGGTAAGAAA